TATGTATGTGGCGTCTTTACGTACCACCATTTAATTTTTTTCAAACTTTCAGGAATTAAAGTACACAAAAAACTAAAAAGATTTGTTCCAGGATGTTTTGATTTGTATGCCTGTGTGGGCGTGGCTGCTGCCTGAAATTCGAAAAAAGGCAGTTCTTTAAACTACCACTGAGGCCGCACTACTCATTCCACACCATTCGCGTTGATATCAGTAGAAGGGCCTTAAAAAAAGAAATCTAATGCTAGCTTTTGCGTTTATAAAATATAAATACGCCATAACGTTATCGCCTGAAAACTAAAAATCGGGCTGCTGAAAATAGAGATATCGGGAATTTTCTCAAAAACTGGTCAGTCGATTTTATTCTAAGTTTCCACAAGTCTTGCCCAAAACCTTAGCTTTCATCTGGTATATAGTTTGTATCTGGGAAAACTCTTGTTGTGGAGATATTGCTATTCAAATTAAAAAAATTTTGCTCCAAAAAGGGTCAAATGGTTAAAAATTAACATATCCGTCTAATTTGGTTACTTTAAGATACAAAAATAACAAACCCAGTTCCCCGAAAAAAATCGCCCATTCCCCGATTGCCAATTAAACCGAAATTCCCTGCAAATCGGGGAATTTCCGCGAGTTGACAAGTTGAAGGATGCAGCTGTGCTAATCACTTCGTACATGTCTTGGAAACCACAATTTGTGTGTATTTTAGAGTTTTTTTTTTGAGTCACATGCCGAAATTGTAACATTCTTCCCCATTTTAATTGCAGGTATGTACACAGTATTTAACTATGCTACATGGGTTTATCACCCGCACCTAACCTACCTGGTATTTACCTATAGTTGTACATAAATATGTATGTATGAATGCATTTAGTCCACCCAATATGCCGCTACTACTACATACATATGTATAAATTGCCACTGAGCAAGGCTACTTGAGAAAAAATCATTAGTTTAATAGCACGAGTAAACTTCTTAAAACAAGTAATTTTTAGCAAAAAAAAACCGACTTCAACTCTCATATAAAAAAAAAATGTATATATATATCTCATGATCCACTGATCGGATCTTAACCAGATTAGTATGGGATCACCTCTGAGACACTACCTTTCCGATGCAAAAAGAATTATCGAAATCGGTTGACGGGGTCCAAAATTATGCGGTAACATACATAAAAAAAAAAAAAGTTCGGAACGTTGCGAATTTCCGTTTACTGCTAGAAACACAATTAAAAAAAAACAGAACTTTTGCAACGATTCGTATGAATAAAAAAGATTTTCCGTACGTTTGAAAGGCAGTTAAAAAATACGTTTAATTTTCGTCACGTAATTGATATCATAAATTTTGTGTTTCTAGTTCAGCTTTCGTCACTCGCAAATTTTACCTCAAAGAGCTGTTTTATTTGATACACTAGACACTAATATTCTACATTAAGATGGAATTTATTTACTGAATAAAATGTTAGGAATAGGTAAATTAAATATGTTTTTCGTTGTTATAAATGTATTTAAATTAAGTTATTAATAAAAACGTGAGGAAATGGATATGTATATACACTTTTTACTGAATCAAAAAAATTATTAAACATGATAATAAAAACTTGGCGCTTTTGTTTTGGAAAAATTGGCTTTTTCTGGGGGCTGATGCCACACTGGCTCAGTTGTCACTAAAGTACACACACATACACGCATTTTTACTTGAAAATAAGTCTGTAGTGGTTAATATGTATACGTTGCCATCTCCGTACAGCTCACTTCACCTCGCCTAGCACGCTCGCGTGCGCGCAGTTATCCCGCGACGTCGACTGCGTGCACCTCTGCTGTGCATCCCTAGTTATATGTATTCATAACTTTAAAGTAAACCTAGCGACAGATGAAGCAGAACCATAGATTAAATTTCTAAAAGAAAAACTAAATTTAGGAATATATACAAATAGCATTCTCAAACTACAAGTTCAAAAACAGTAATTGATGCGGCGTTTTAACGATATTTTAACGCCCTTGAGTCACAAGTATATACAAGTGTCATATTTGAGCAATCATACCGATAGTTTGATATATTAGAAGAATTAAAAATTAAAATTATTTAAAAAAATAAATCAGCAAAATGAATAACATTAAGTGAAGTTAATATTTAATTTCTAACCTAACCTACATGTGTATGTATGTAACTGAATCCCCTAATAATATTTTACATATAAAAAGATTATCCTCATTTTCTCTCTTAACTCCTTTATCTTTCATTAGAAAAAGAGATAAGCCCTACAAAGTTATAATTATAAAATAATCTCAGTTTAAACTGATAACTTTTTGGTATCCAACCTAGTTTTATCGATTATACTTGCGAAGAAGAGGAGGAATTACAAATGTACAAGTAAACAAAAATTGACGCCAGCAAGTACTCAAGCTACCTAGTACTCACGCCTTTTTTTAAATAACTTATTTTGTTATTTTTAATAAAGCACACTAAAATTATGTTTAAAAAAGCCCTCATAATGTTTCTACTAATATTACACCTTAGTTTTTAACAACACAATTTTCTTTTATTTTCAGCACTGGTCGGCTCATTAGCCATCGGCGCCACATTTTTATTTTCGCCAGTTGCAGGTGTATTAACCGATAAAATAGGCTTGCGGATGACTACATTGATTGGTGGTTCACTCTCTGCCACAGGTCTTTTGCTGTCGTCATTCTTTACGCTTAATATCAAAGCTCTGTATTTCTCATATGGTATAATGTTTGGCTTAGGAGCTGCATTGGCTTACACACCGACATTGGCAATTTTAGGGCACTATTTCAAACGTTACCTTGGAAAAGTAAGTGGATTTGTTACGGCTGGCTCCAGTGTATTTACAGTAATATTACCGCCGGGCTTAGATTTTCTATTACGAAGCTATGGAATGGAAATAACGTTACAAGTGATGAGTTTAGTGTCCTGCTTTATTATAGTATGCTCCTTCGTTTATAAGCCTCTGCATCCGCCACCTCAACCTCCTCAAAATAAACGTGATCGCTCTCGCGCTAATATACTATTACTGTCCGGTATTAACGTAAATATATGGAAGCGAAAAAAATATGTGGTTTGGGCACTTTGCGTTCCAATGGCTCTTTTCGGATACTTTGTTCCGTACGTCCACATGATGAAGTTTGTACAGACAACGTTTCCGAGTAAAAGTGAGAATCTGCCTGTGATGTGCATTGGCATTACCTCAGGCATTGGCCGTCTGATTTTTGGTATAATTGCTGATTTGCCAAGAATAAACCGCATATACCTACAGCAATTAGCGTTAACGAGTATTGGTGTGATAACAGTTTTTTTGCCATTAACGAGTTCTTACAATATGCTAATCGTTTTCACTCTGATGATGGGCCTGTTTGATGGTTGCTTCATTTCGTTGTTGGGCCCGATAGCTTATGAAATATGCGGGCCATCTGGAGCCACGCAAGCCATTGGATTTTTATTAGGCTTGAGTTCGTTTCCATTAACAATTGGACCACCAATCGCTGGTATGATATACGACAGCACAGGTTCATATACTACGCCACTTCTTTTGGCGGGAATACCGCCCATATTGGGCTCAACGATAATGCTCCTAATACGCTATGTACCCGATGAAACAAAATTGGATGCAAATATTATAACTAAAGCCGACGACAATTTAGAAGATGGCGTTAAAAGTTCCAAGGACACTGCAGCAAGTACCGGTAAATAATATTTGAATAAATCTTAGATAAACATATCGTCACCGGAATGGAAGATCGATCTATCTCGGCAGCCAGTTCGAAAACGCCCTATCTCAGAAAACCTTTTAAGAATGCCCTTATTCAGAATTTGGTTGAAGAACGTCCTGTTTCAGAATTTTATTTGAAAAACACCCTATCTCAGAATTTGGTTGAAGAATGCCCTATCTCAGAACTCGGCGCAAAAACGCCATATTCCAGCTGAGAATACATTGAAGATGTGCTGAGATAGGGCATTTTCGAATCAGCAGCTGAGGTAGGGCGCTCTTCAAGCAAATTCTCAAGTATGGCGTGCGTTCTTCAATCAAATTCGGAAGTACATAGGTTAGCTTAGGTTGGGTAAACGGGATGCGTCCCTTAGAGGGGAGAGGGACGCAGGGAGACCGGAAAAAGAGTGGATGGGTAGGGGAAAGAGGGGGAAACTAAGGAAAAATTACGACACCTATGGCTTTTTTGTAAGAGAACCGCTCCGTGCTCGCAACGAAGCTCATCGATCGACTGATGTCCATTCCCGCGCTCTCATCGTGCTCATCTCAAGGTGCTTAAACCTTATGCTTGAAACACAATACCCGGCGAACTGCAAATTTCGCCCAGCAGAGCGATGCCGACGACCAACTTTCGCCCAGCTAATTCGCTTACTGAAACACAAATAGAGCGGTATCGAGCGGTTCGAATGCTGTCAGCTGATAGTGACCATGTTTCAAGAAGGAAGCGTTTACCACGAAGAGGGAAAATACCAGCAAGAAGAAGTTTAAAATATAGAAGTAGTCTTTAAATATAACTACTAGTAAACTTACGTTTTACTAGATTAATCTCTGATAGAAAAATATAAGGTATATTATTTTACTTTTAAACAAAAATTACGATAACTTTTAAAGTATGGTCATCATGGCCTTTTTTTGTCGTTGCCGTTGACCGCGGCGATAGAAATAAATCTATCGTCGCGAACAGTCGTCGAGCAAACTTCGTCGTTTGCTTTGGTTGTGCGCGTTCTCATATAAATCAGTGTGTTTTAATTATGTCGGAGAACATTCGCGACGAAAAATTTGCCGTTCGCCGGTGTTGTGCTTCAGCTTTTAGGCTCGCAAAGGCAGGGCACCAGAGCAGCAGGTGTTGAGATGATTTCACCTCATTGTTCACCTTGCAGCTGGTGCAGTAAGGGTCATTAATGACATTCAGCCTTACGGCATTTTTACCAATCACACATTGACCAGTAAGCACTCCCACCAAACACAGTGGTTCGAATAGAACAAGCCAGCTAGATAAAATTATTTAGCTGGATTTTCTAACTAACATTATGTACATTTTGTGCAATAAAATTGTAACCGAAGCTTATCGTCTAATTATAAACATATAAATACATATGTACGTATTTTGGTGATAGCATTGTGCCACAGTCCCACTCTGCCCTCTTAAGGACAGCGTACACGGTAGAGAAATCTCTCGAGAGTTTCACTGAAATAAAAATCTCCTCTCTCAATTAAGTTTACACGGTACAGCAACTCTAGGAGATATTCACTCTAGCTAGACATAAAATAGAGAAATCTCAACTTTTATCTATCACGTACTCTACAAGCTGTGTACACGGTAGACAACAGTTACCTCTCGCGTAGAGTTAGTTGTCTATCTCGAATTGTTGTCAACGCTTGTTGTATGTATATATGTATTTATATCAAAGCCACGATGTAGAAAATATAGTTGGCGCCATCAGCGGAGCGCTAACCCTTCGTCGATTTGAAAGGAGTCTCTCCAAGCAGTCCAACCAAACTACTATATATACAGTGACGGGCAAAACTGTAACATGGTATAACACTTTTTACTTCAGCCATCGCTAAATTTCCAAGTTCTAACGACTTTCATACTTTTGTTGTATATTCTTATTGGTACATCCCTACTCCCTCTCTCGTAATGATTTGAAGTCAATACAACAACAATAAAAAAACCAGCAGACAAAAATGAAAATTAAGGCAGATGTTACAGTTTTGCACTCATATATTTCTAAGAACTTTTTAACAATTTTCACGAAAAAAAAGAACTACTAACACAATTTTCAGTACTATTTTGCTTGTTTCAGTTCCTGGATGCGATTTGGCATACCTTATTTGTATCTTTGTAAAAATTCTGGTGGTATATCTTTAGTTTGCTTTCACAGCGCATGTACTCGATTTTACGTACTTTGAATCTTATTAAGCTGTGCTTTTAGTTGATTTCGCAAATTCTCGATGAGATTCATGTCCGCGGATTGTGGAGGTCATTTCAAATTAGCAAATTTTTGCTTTTGTATCCAGACTTTGCGAACATATGCAGTGTGTTTTGAGTGATTTTTCAGCAGAAACTCTCATTTTTTCGACTACATCTTGCAAATTTTGTTGAAATATGAACAGATACTGTTCCTTACGCATAATACGTACTAACGGACAAACTAAATTTTTTAAATACAACCCCAAACTATTATTGACCGACCACTATGATTCACAGTTTGCCTCACATGATGCGCATGGGCTTAATTTGGGTCTTTGATCCAATACCATGCCCGGCCATCTGATTGAAAGCGATTAATTTAGTCTTGTCAGACCAAATAACCTTCAATTGAAACTTAAAAATATGTTTTTTATTGCATTCTGAACGGGCTAACATATCCCAATAGGCAAGGGTTCGGTTTTCGTGCGATGCAGCGAAATGCTGCCGCACTCGCACATGTATTTTGATCAAATTTGCTTTTTTCTTCTTTATGATGCCTTTGCGCTCAATTTGACAATTCTTCGCCTCGCTATCTATTGATTTGCGTTAAAGTTTAATACCTTAAGCGCTTCTGTAATAGTGGCTGCATCGTTACTTGCTGCCAAGTTCACACGATATCGTACCGTAATATTTTTTGACAGATTTCCTTTGTCCTTGGGAACACTTTAAGCTATATTTTTTCTCAGTCTTAACATTTTCAAGTAGCACATTCCAAAATTTTTTGCCACTTTTCGTGCGAACCCGCCTTGCCGCAGTAAATCTATTATTTACATTTATGGTTCTTGATTAACTATGTTATTTACTGGTGATCACTTCTTCTATAAATTACAATATAGAAAAAAGGCATCTGACTTTCAACTAAGTAAGAGATAACTGTCAAATGAAAAACTGATAGTGAGGGCAAAACTGTAACATCTGCCTTAATTTACATTTTTGGCTGCTGGTTTTTTTATTGTTGTTGTATTGACTTCAAATCATTATGAGAGAGGGAGTAGGGATGTACCAACAAGAATATACAACAAAAGTATGAAAGTCGTTAGAACTTGGAAATTTAGCGGTGGCTGAAATAAAAAGTGTTACACCATGTTACAATTTCGCTCGCCACTGTATGTATGTAGGTATTCACCAAGTTGAGCAAGTGGCCTGCCACTCTGACAAAACAGCAGATAACTCAAGCAACGACTATTGCCAGATTGCCAGACCACCTGCTCAATATGTGAATACCCCTTATGTTTCAATCTATAATTTGCCCCTTTGCAAAGGACGGAGGCTATCGGAAAAGCCATTGAAATACCAATGAAAATAAGAGGATGATTCCCGGTACATTATTTGGCTACGTTCTAATGTCACTTAAAATTGTGTGCTTGTATCGAATATACGATTTAATGTCGTAGCCATTTAAAAATTTAACAATCTGTAACGAAGTTCATTGTCAAGACTTTACTATACATATCCATAGAACAAAAAGTCTATTTAGCTTGCTAAATAGAGCGTAGAGTTGTCGTAGAGTGTTCGATCTAGCTTCGTTGGACTGTGTACACGGTGAAAAAGTCTCGCTAAATAACTCTCACATAGACTTTGTAGGTGAGTCTCTCGTAGAGCTAGAGCCGTATACACTTAGCTTTAGAGGCGAACCCATCAACACTAGCACTTTTTGCACCTACGCAGTTATCATCTTCGCAACAAAGTGTTTTGCAAAGGCAAATGCCAACAACAAAGAAAAATTAAAATTTATTTTCACAGCAGTCGCACCAACAATCATCTGAGCTGAGGCAACATTAGTGACATAAGCAGCGACAACAACAACAGTAACAACAACAACTACAGTATTTATCGAGTGAAGGTGCCAACAATCTTAGTATTACTGGTGAGCTGTATTATTCAAATTTTTTAGACTAGTGTAACTTTATCACGAATTGGTTATGTAGATATCATTATAAATTT